TACCTAAGATCCACATAAATGTGAACATGGAGGGAACAGTGCTTAGGAAATGTGATTACTCATTTGGCCAAACAGAGCTACTGTCTTTAAAATGCTGAGAGAAAGAGAGAGAGAGAGAGAGTGCCTCAAATTTGGGTTAATTCCCATCTTGGCTAAGACTAAATCTTAGAAATACCTATGATTTACAGATGAGTGGGTAATAGGGGAACAATTGACTTGAACTAAATTAAGAAAAACCCAAATGAGCCAGGTACCGTGGTGCGTGTCTCCATTCCCATCTGTGCTGGGAGGATCCCTGGAGCCCAGGAGATCAAGGCCAGCCTGGACACCAGAGTGAAAGTTAACCTCTTAGAGAAGAGAAGAAGAGAAGAGGGGAGGAGAAGAGGGGAAGGAGAGGAGAAGAGGAGTTTGTTTCTGCTTCCGTCTGTTATTTATAAATTTCAGCTACATGTGGAGCCTGTGGTTCAAGGAGTAAGGGCACCAGCCCCAGGTACTGGAGATGGTGATTTAAACCCAGCCCTGGTCAAAAAAATAAATTTTAGCTCCAAAGTCAACAGCAAATCCAGTGAAACAATACTATATCTTAGATTAAACTCTATTGAAAGGAACTTACACTCTTACTAAACTTAACACACTTTTGCATGCTTGGCTTCTACCTTTGATGCACAGCAAATAGCAGTTAATCATCAAATCATAGACTCAGACTTCAGCGTTCTTCCAGAAGTTCCTTCAGGCACTAACAGAATTACTTCTTTTTTTTTTTAAGTTTGCTGGACTAAGTCTAGAGACCTGGACTCTTCTATTAAACTATAGTGACCATGAGGATGTCATCTCATCTCTTAGGAGCTCACGTTCTTTGGAGATGGCTTAGTGAACTTCGACCTCTCTGATGTCCCTTCTAGTTCTAAAATTTTAAAATAACATTAGCCTGTAGAGTTGAATTTTGACCAGTGCTGTAAAATATTAGCTGTGGACATTTCAGCCACATTTCACCTCTCTTATTGTATCTGTAGATCATTTTCCATAAAGAGGATATTTTAGTGGAGATGGAAGATCTTCAAAAGTTCAGTCTTCACTTCTTATCATTTCTGAGCCATTTAATAGTTTACTGAGCCTTTCCACATCTGTTTCCATAGTATAAAATGAAAAAATAATACCTTTGTGGCTACAATAAGAATCAAGTGTAAAATCACATATAAAACCGTAATTCCCCACAAAATGTGAGAAATGATGTCTTTAAAATAGAAAGTGTTATGGACTTTCTTTAAAGTCTTTAAAATATTGTTCCCTGTCTCAGTCTGCTCGGGCTGTTTAACAAAATGCCAGCAACAGGCTTTTTTCCACACAATCCTCACAGTTTCCTAGAAGGCTGGGCAATCCAAGATCAAGGTGTTAGCGGCTTTGGGTCTAGGTGAGTGCCCACGTCCTGCCTGGTAGATGCCGCCTTCTCCGTGTGTCCTCCATGGCAAAGAGAAAACTCTGGTGTTTTTTCCTCATTTTATCAGGACACCGGTTCCAACATAAAGTTCTGCCCTCATCTAAATCTAACTAACTTTCAAAGGCTCCACCTCCTAATACCGTCATATTGGGCGTTAGAAATGCAATGTATAAATTTGGGGGAGGACACCAACATTTAGTGCGTGACATTTTCTCCCTTAATGCTGGGAGAAAAATGGTAGTACGATTGAGACATGTTTTCATATCCCTGAAGGATAAAGAAATTCCAAAAGGAATTCAGTTCATTCGTAGCTTGAAGTGACGGTAAATTTGCTATTAATATTTTGGTATGAGGCAAAAATTAAGTTAAGCCATCTATCTTTAATAATTCTATGTATTACGGATGTCTTGGTGAATGTGAAATTTTAAAGGAAGCATAGAGATCAGCTAGATTGTCTCTGCACTTTATGGATAGGGATGTTGAGACTACCAGAAGGTGAACATTTTAGCGAACTGCTTATTGCGGGTGGAGACAGGCCCTAAATCTGTCTCCATCCACAGTAAGTAGGAAGAGCCCTTCTGCTCTATTGTCTCTTTGGTAGTAGCCATCGCAGCATCCCTGGGGAGAGAGTGCATTGTTCAGACCACTGCGGTTGTCTTCTACCAGGACTTCACGTGGAGAGTATATAGGATTTCCAAACTGTCACTGTGTAAGGCCAGCTAGAGGCCGTCACGAGGAGCATCTTTTCCACCTCCTTTATTTAGATAGGACAAACTGGTTCCTTACTGGCTACCCAAAGGCTTTCATAGCCAGGAGGCTGGTTCTTCCACCGCTGAGCTCTGTGACCTTGGGACAAGTAGTTTTAGCTTTCCAGGCCTTCAGTTCCACATCAGCAAATTAATAATAATGTAAAGATGAAAGAAGATAACAAAGTGCCCGGGACATACTAAGCACTCACCAGCCCCAGCTTCTTTTTCAGCAGCAATTCAAGGACTAGCGATCACAGTTCTGAGCTCCCTGCACAGTGCACTTTCCATTACACTCCACGTTACATGGGTAACATTGTGCTGAACTGAGGCTATTAAGTGCATTTTTAAAAACCTTGTCTTGCAAAGTCGATCTGTTCACATCTTTAATAATGCAAGAAAGGAGCTGGAAGTTGGCCCACAGAGATTTTTATGAACCAAAGGGTTATTTTTAATTGGATTTTGTGCCTGTTGTTATGGAAATAGTTGTTTCATACATTAAGCATTACAACTTTACTGCAAGATCAAGCCTAGAATGGGGTATGACGATGACATCACCCTTATGCTGCTTTTATTTCACAGAATACATTTCAAAAGAAAGAATGGAATGAATGCTTCAAAGGCACATATTTCTAAAGTAAAAATCTCTCTTATAAAAATAGTTTTAAAATGATATATTTCCTTTAAAAAAAAAAAAAAAAGATCAAAACTGAGGATGGCCCTTCCTGCCATGCCAGTAGGATGCTGAAATGCTGCAGAGTTGTTAAACATGTCTTTCTTCACCATTGAAACTGCAGAGAGTTCCTTTGATCCTGGGACTTGCTTTTGACCTTTGGTCCAAAACATTTTTGCAGTTGCTGACCTTTCTCTAGTTATTTAGTTATCAGTCTTTCAAAAAACTGTTCTATCTAAAATGGTTTTTGTTCATGTATCAGGATGAGTAATTTAACTTCTCTAAAGAGACAAAGAAGAGATGATTTCTAATCTTAATGATAGTTGGTACTGCTTAAAGAACAGAGGCGATTCATCCTATACAATTTAGTTTATATCTCTGGCTCATTTAAAGCCTGAGGCACACCAACTAAGGGTATACTTCTTGTATTCATCAGTAATACTCTAAGACAAAAATCAAGGGGCTGGGTGGATAGCCTATGGCTCTGAAAGCAGTGATTTTTTTTTTTTTTTTTTTTTGAGACAGATCCTCAAGCTGTCACCTGGGTAGAGTGCTGTGGCATCACAGCTTACAGCAACCTCCAACTCCTGGGCTTAAGCGATTCTCTTGCCTCAGCCTCCCAAGTAGCTGGGACCACAGGCCCCTGCCACAATGCCCAGCTATTTTTTGGTTGTAGCCATCATTGTTGTTTGGCAGGCCTGGGCTGGATTTGAACCCACCAGCTCTGGAATATGTGGCTGGTGCCATAGTCTCTTGAGCTAGAGGCGCCGAGCCTGAAAGCAGCGATCTTATGCAGGTGGACTACTGAGGTTTCTTTTACTGGGTTCCCTTATTCAGTTTTTCACTTTCCTCCTTCCTGGCTCCTTCTTCCTGGCCCATATCTTGGCCTTTTCATACATCCTCCAAGAATCCTTGAGCATCATTCAGTTTTGCTGGTGGAATTTGGTTAAGGAGATTATGAATTTCAATCCTGCTTCATCAGTTGAAAGGCATGAAACTCAATGCTGTCATACCCTTCATTATTTTAATGTACCAGCAAGTTTCGGTGCTCAAAAAAAAAAAAAAAAAAAAGAGAGAGAGACATAATTTATCCCCAAATAATGTATCTTTAATGTTACTTGTCCTCAATGAATCATAATGTCAGATTAGTAGAAATATATATTTTTAACAAACATTTCCAGTTATAGTAAAATCATTTTGCCTTGTTTTAAAGTTGAAGAGGGTTTATGCTAAATTTGTTAAAATTGTATTTGTGTAAGTTTATATAGATTCACGAGCAGTTTATGTAGATTTACTTGGTTAAACTTCTCGTCCTCTATCTTTTGGCCATTCACTGGGAATCCCTGACCTCCACCACTGGTTAATATCACTAGTTTAATTTACCACTCTAGGCTTTGAACCTTATTGGCTTTACTTGTTTTTCTTTTTTCCACTTAGTGCAAGTTGATGTCTGTAGCTAGAAGTTCCTTCATCACACCTAGAGATTCGTGACATGCACATATGTGTCAATTAGTTATAAGGTTTTCTAAGCTTGTTTTTTAGACACAGCATTTCATAAATTTAGGAGGCAAATAAACCTAAGCACATAGTGACAGTGGAGGTGTAGAGTGATGTGAGAGCTAAAAAGCAGCTTCATACATTGTGGCTCGTGTGGCCTTTTCACCAGAACTAATCAGTCTAGTCACTCACTGGAAATGGTTAGCTAAGGCCCAGATCAGAGGTTACGTGACTGCTAGTTACTTCATTAGTAAGGAAATGATGACGTCCAAAAAAAAAAAAAAAAGAAAAAAGTGTGTAAATTTGGGAAGCTTCCCAGTGCTATGTTGACTGTGCCTATTTATGACAACAGGTTAATTCACTTGTCTTAGATCAACACATAGGTTAGAGAATCTTACGGTGTCAGAACTGAATGTTTGTTAACTTGTCATTTTTCTTGCTTGCCATGTATGACTCTAATGGGCTTGAAAATGGGTCCAACCACTCTCTCTTTTCCTCTCTCTCCCTCCTCTCTCTCTCACGTCTTTCTATCTTCTCTCTCTCCCTTGCTTTCTCCCCTTCCTTGTCTCTTTCTCTCACTTTCTGTGAGGTTCATTTGCTTAACTGATTCTGAGTGTCCATAATGACTGTTTGGCATATTCTACAGGCAAAGGTCCCGAGACCCTTTTTGCTGGCTATAACCTCAATGATAATGAGTGGCACACAGTGCGTGTGGTCCGGCGAGGAAAAAGTTTAAAGTTAACTGTGGACGACCAACAGGCCATGACAGGTAAACGCTTTGCCCTCATCGCCTTTACTTAGCCTAATGCTATAGATCTTCTCATTTTTTGCAGGTGGCTCTTTAAACCAAGTCTGGTGCACAATTTGAAGCTTATACACAGCCCGTTTGTGCTCTAATTTTTCTACTAATGAGTTTATTTAAGGAGAAGTCTGTTGAGTGTTTTTCCTCCCAAATGATCAATACTTTTTATGTTACCTTTGCCCTTTAATATTTTCGGAAGAAATTATAATATACTTTAACTTTTTGGTCTGATAATATATTTTGACGTTTACTATTTTAAGGAGAAATTATAATATATTTTAATTTTTTTGACTAATAAATATTGTAGTGCCTCATAAAATACTAAAGTCACGGTTTGGATGCCAATGTTTGTTCAGCTTTTTTGTTTCTTAACGATTTAGGAGATGAACAGCCGAGAGTTCTACTTTTTAGCTCTAGGTAAATTGACAGCTATACCAGCATTCTGTCAGATGAGCCACTTTTACATTGGAAGCTATAATAGATCCTTTTTGGCTATGTAGCTCCGATGTTAAACTTGAATATTAAGAATGTCAATTTTGATTCCTGATTTGTAGATTCCTAACTCAGGTGAGCTGTGTGAAGCTCCACCCTGGAGACAGAGGGAGCCAAATGAAGGAGAAATCAGTATCTCTTTGTTTTCTCTGACAATCACTCCAAGACCAGGACCCACTGGGATGTTAGCTTCTCTTTCTTCTTTAGAGAACAGCTCCTTTTTAATTAGTCTAATAAAAAGCACCATGGTGTTGTATCACATGGTTCTTGTGCAGTTGAGAAGTACCTGTTCATTTGATCCAAAGAGGTTCCCATGTCTGGAGGACAGTCGACTCTCAATGAGAAATATGTACAGCATTTTAACTTTTGAAGTAATTATTCCTTAACTTAGGGAAAGAAGGCAGAATTTTTGCAAGGCTTTGGCAGAAGGGTGTCAGTCGAAGTTCGTTAACTTTTAGTCAACAGCAATTCTTTGAAGGGAAATGAATTGTTTTCTGGGGGGATTAGCACCCATTGTTTGCACAGCTATATTTTATCAAAAAGCATGGGCATGAACAAGTAGGGTCTATGATTACGCGTAAAAGGTTGGAAAGAGCAGCCGCTGAGAGCAAGAACTTGCCAGAACCATAGCAGACTGTGCCTCAATCTCCAAGTGTCTCCAATATTACATGGCCCTATGAAGTAGATAGACCATGTATATTTGCAATTGTAGATAAGGAAACTGAGACTCAAGGAGAATAAATGACTTATGTCTCATTGAAATGCCATGGTTACCAGAACTGAGGAAAGAGTATAGTTCTGTTTTTTGTTTTTTTTAATTTGACTGATTTTTTTTTTTTTTAATTTATAGGCCATTATGTCATATTCACCCATATCCTAATAATTGTATGGTTCTAAGATCAATGCTTTCTCAGACATAGTAGCACTGGAATACGTACACCTATTTTTAACTATAATATTTAAAAATTATATTAAATATGATGTATCCTACAATACTGACAATATAGGGCAGTATATGAATTGCTGAATGATTGACGGAAGTAACTGGTAAGATGACATAAATAATCTTGGGGTTTAGAAGAGAGGTTGAGGACCTTGTTTGCAGGAATAGCTTAAGGGAATAGATACTATTTGATCTAGACACTAAGGAAAGGATAATGCAGTTGATAAAAGTATGTGGAAGAGAATTCCACAAGAGGTAGAATGGTGCTGATAGGGTTAGACAGACTAATGTTCAGGGACCATAGACGTTTTGTTTTGCTTCATACAACCATATGGCTTGACGTGGCTAGAATGACCTGCTGGGGCCAGGGCTGCTCTGGACTAAAGAGCTCAGGTTTCACAGACTTTCCCCATTGGTAGTTGCTGTATCCTGTGCTTAAAGAAGATTTTTTGAGCAAAATTAACCCTGTGTCATTGTTTTAGATGGTTCAGATGTAAAGTATTAAATGCATAATGTGTAAAGGATATGGCAGGAAAGGAAACAAGAATAATGCAAAGTATTTTACTTAGAAATTTTATTTATGAATAATTTCAAACTTACAAAAAATTTTAAAACTAAAAACAATACAAACAAAGTGGGCATCCCTTTACTATTGTGAACATTGTATCCCATTTGCTTTGACATTCACACACTTGCAGTCTTTCTTCTGTCTTCTTTTTTTTGTTTTCTTAACCAGTTGAGGATCAGTTACATACCTAGTGATCCTTTATCCCTAAATACCTAAGGATGGATGGTCTCAAAATGGGGATATTCCTCTGCTTAACAAAGTAAAAGTTACCCAATTTAGTGAATTTTTTATTAAGACAATGTATTTTTCTATTCTATCATTTATATCCTGATTCTGTCACTTGGCCCAGTGTTGGCCCTACACTGTGAGCATTTCTCCCCCCACTGCCCTAGGTGTGTGGCCCTAGGCCACAGATGTCTCATTTTGTTGTTATGTCTCTTTAACCTCCTTTAATCTACAACATTTCCATAAACTTCCTTTGTCTTTCATAACAGTGACATGTTGAAGCAGGTCTTTTTCCTCCCATGTAAAGTCACGCATTTTGTGCTTGTCTGTTGTGTGCTCGTGCACACAGAAGTTTAGATTCTTCATTCTTGGATGAAATAGCACAGTGTTGATGTTGTTGCCTCTTTACAGGAGGTGCAGGCTGTCCATGTCTTGATTAGTGATTTAATTCGATCACTTGGTCAACCTGTTGTCCAGTTTCTTCACTACATAATTACTATGATTTTTTTCCCTGGCAACTAATAAACTATCTGTGAAGCAGCTTTAAGACCATGTGAACGTCCTGTACTTCATGAAAATTTTGCCCTAGATTTAGCAATTATGAGCGATTTGTGCCTGATCCAGGCTCATTATAATAGTTACAAAATGCATTTTTTGGATGCTAGCACTCTTTCCACATACAGTCAACGCTTGCCGTGCTACCGGGAGCCAGAGCCCTCCCTTCCCGCTCTATTCTTTCTCTTTCTTTTACATTCCTTCCTTTTTCATTCGTTTCTCATTCTTCCTCCCTTCCTTCTTCTTTTCTTTCTTCTTTCCTTCATTCCTTTCTTTCTCACCGTTGTGGAGTTTCCGTTTTTACTGAAGTTCACAATTACTTCATTATTTTGGAATTTAAATTTTTCCAATCTTGTCCAGTTTGAGTTCCGTCAAGTTTATCTTTATGATCTCGTGACGTGCTTTAACCTCAGTTTTTATTCTTAGCTTATTTTTTTTTAACTTTTTGGCATAATAGGATGTCCCAAGGATAACTTTTATCTACACACTTTACCCTTAAATTAGCCATTTAGTTTCTAGCTAGTAAGAAATGACAACAGACTAAGCTTTAGACGATAGGGGTTCTCAGTATTATCAGAGTACCCTGGTTGTCTGACTATTTCAGTAGGAAGTATATTCAAGTATATAAACTTATACCTGCATACATATGTAAATGTCTGCACAGAGACGTACAGATCTGTCCACATATCAACAGTCACATGTATGTATTTTGAAATGAGTTCACACTAGCACCTTCATCCCCACAGCATTGATTATTGATTTTTCCCAAAGCACACTTCTATGTCTTTTCTTCCATGATGAGAATCGTGGCTCCCGTCAACATCATTTCTTTACTTTTTCAATCCAGTAATGCATCTAAAATAATTTCAGCATTATTTTTCCTATAGCACTACGATCAGTAAACCAACTAAACAGAATTCAGGGTTAGTTGGTGATGATTCTTCTCATTCCTCTTTGCTTAAGACTTAACATCTATATGCAAATGCCAAGTTAATATATTTTTGGAATAAATTATTTCCTTCCTTTCTTCCTTCTTTCCTTCCTTTAAAAAAATACTAAGAAGGTACAACTTTTTTTGTTACATGGATATGATTTACAATGCTTAAGTAGACACTCTTAGTGTGCCCATCACCACAGCAGTGTTCACTGTGCCCAGCAGGTAGGCTTTTACCCTCCTCTTCTTCCTCTCCTAGATTTCTAATGACCTTTACATCTCTTTGTACCCATGTGTGCCCGTTGATTAGCTCCCAATTATTAAAGGATACATGTAGTGTTTGTACATATGATGTTAAGATATTTCCCGTAGTGTAATGGTCTTCAGTTTCATCCAAATGCAAAAACATTATCTCATTTTTTTCCCATGGGTAAAGAATACCCCATGATGTGTTCATATACATGTGTATATATAGATACACACACAAACATAGCATTTTCATAATCCACTCATGAATTGATATGCACATAGTTTGATTTTGTGTCTTTGTACTTGTGAACTTTAATACAATAGACATTTGAGTAGAACTGTCTTTTTGACAAAATTAACTCATTTTCCTTTGGGTAGATACCCAATAATGGGAGTGCTAGGTTGAACGGTCAGTCTACATTTATTTTGTGAGGAATCTTCATGCAAGTTCCCATCAAAGTGGTATTAATCTACAGTCCCACCAACAGTGTATAAGCTTTCCTATCTCTGTGCATTCAAACCAGAATCTACTTTTGCTTGTTTGTTTGTTTGTTTAACTTTTTAATAATGGCCATGCTAACAGGGTCAGGTGATATGCCATTGTGGTTTTTTTTTTTTTTTTCTTTTTAATAACAGCTGTGCTAACAGGGTAAGGTAATATGTCATTGTGGTTTTAATTTTCATTTCCCCACTGGTTAATGATGTTGAACAGTTCTTCATGTTTTTTGGACATTTGTCTATCTTTTTTTGAAAAACTTGTACTCCTGTCTTTTGCCCGATTGTTAATAGGGTTGTTTGACTTTTTCTTATTTCTTTAATTCCTTCTTTCCTTCCATTTTGTCAAAGATCTCATGATAGCCAATGATTTTTAAGAGTAAGTCAGCCTTGATTAAGTCAGCCTTGATTTATGTAGTATAGAAAAGATTTTCAAAAGTAGCAATGGACGATTACAATTGAGGCTAAAATTTGGAATTCTTTTTTAAACATCTCAGTGGCTGTTT